TGGATGACAAAACCCATGATCCTCCAGTGGTCAGGGATGCCTCCACCATTGTCTGCTTCTTCCAAGGACTGAGTAACTAATTTTATTTTGTGTATTTCAAGTCTATTTATGATCGTTATAATGATATGGCAAGTCAAGTATTAAGATTTGACCCCAACTGCAGAGGGTCCAGGTGATTAGAAACCATAAGCTAAGCTGTGCTATAAAATCTTCTGCTACACTACTTATAAAATTGTGGTACGCTTATTCTGGTTATTAAAAATCCTGTGCTACTCTGACCATAAGATTCTATGCTGATGATAAAATTTGCTAAAAAAGAAAGCTTTAATTTTAACTGTAACTTAGTATCAGCATCATTCTGCCAAGGATCCTCAAAAGAACCCGCCTCCATAGAGCCAGGTGACACTTGGCCTTTCCTCATAGAAGACATGCTTCGGTGCTTTAATCATCTTCATGGCCCTTTGCTGGACTCTCTCCAGTATGTCCATGTCTCTCTTGTACTGGGGAGCCTAAAACTGGACATGGTACCTCAGATGCAGCCTCACCCGTGCTGAATAAATGGCAAAGATCACCTCTCCTGAGTTTTTGGCAACAATAGCCTAATGCAGCTGCCTTTGTCACAAGGGCACATTGCCAGCTCATGTCCAGCTTGGTGTCCACTAGGACACCCTCCCCCTTTTCTGCAAAGCTGCTTTCCAGACAGTCATCCCCCATCATGTACTGGTGCATGGGGTTGTTCCTCCCCATGTGTGGGACTTTCCCCTAGTTGAACTTCATGAAGTTCCTGTCAATCCATTTCTCTAGCCTGTCCCTTTAGATGGCAGCACAACCTTCTGGTGGATCAGCCATTTCTCCCAGTTTTGCATAATCTGTGAATTGCTGAATGTGCAGTCCTTCCCACTGTCCAGGGATGTTGGCAGCTTGGTGCCAAAAATACATTTTGGGGTATCCATCAAAGATTTCCCCCCCTATAATCAGGGAACAGGGAGGAATAAGGAAAAATCTCATAATTTCAATATTCAAAGTCAGGTTTGGTAATTTACCTTTAATTACATAAAAGAAATAAGTGTTCATGCATTAGTATGAAGAACTCCTGTGTCTTAAGGAAATTTACAGCATTGTGGTATTATTCTCTTCATTACTCATCACCTCTAGGTTTGTATGAATTCTACTTTCTTTTTTTAAATTTATTTAGTGAGCAAAATAAAACTCAACATTTAGGTAAGTACAGTAATTCAAAGCAGACAAATGTATCAGGTAAACACTGCTCCTATTTCCCACTGCTGAACTACTGTTAACAGTATGAGCTATATTGCATGCTGGAAATAAGAGGTTCCCTCACAGACTTGCATAAACCCCTGAGGAGAAATCTTTCTGCTTTTGGTGAAATGTAGTTTAAGCATCAAGCTTTGCCTCAGTCAAATTCCATCTTATCAACATTTATACTTACTTGGCAAAAAACAAACAAACAAAAAACCCCCCCAAAACCCCTGACTTAACAAGCAAACATTTCATAGGGGAAAATATACTAGCATACATGGCTAAACTTTAAAATATTATGTCTTTTTAAATTAAAATACTGAACAAACTGCTTCTTCAGAGTCTGAAGTCACATAACTACATTTTGCTCATGAGAATAAAATTTACAGTCATGAGTTGCACATAAAGGATTTATTTTAAATGTTTTAAAGATAGAGTTACATCATAATTATAAAAAATACTTACAGAATTAAGTAACATATTTAGTGTTCATACTTCTAAATGCAGAGAAATAAAATAAAAATAATGAAACTGAACTCTAAATATGAAGTCATTACCTAATTTTAAAATGTGAACACAAAGACCTTTGAACTATACACATACCAAGAACCATTCAAATTGTACTAATGATGTAAAATACAAAAAAGCACAACATTTTCAAGGAACCAGAAACTGCGTTTACCGTAATTCTTCTTCCCTGAAGCAAGTGTAATCTATTCTATCTGAATATAAAGCCTCCATTTTGAAATAATTCATTTAAAGAAGGCTTATACAAATTGTAATAAATAGGATTTTCCCCAAAGTATTTCAGTCTTTATGTAGTCCAACTTAGTTTAAGGTTTGGCACTCAAAAGAAAAAAAATGTAGTGTTTTATTTATTGATGGTGATTTTATTTATTCTTGAACAGAATACATGGTCCCTTCAAATGCTGTATGACACATACAACTGGAAAATTACCTTCCATTGGCACTATGTTCACCTCACCAGTGCATTTAATCCTACTAACAACCATTCAAACAGCACAATAAGCAAATTTACAAAAAACTGAACACAAAATAAAAACAGAACAAAACCCAAACCTAAACATTATAACATGCAACTTTAGTCTGTTACATTGAACATTCTAACCTTCTAAGCATGCAAAAAAGGATGGTCTGCATTTAAGTTTTTTTTTTTCCTTTTAAAAAGCTTTACATGGCAGCCTGACATCATGCACACACACAATATACAACAATACTACAGCAGGTAAATGAGAAGGGTCAATAACTTTTATACAAAGATCTATGGCTTGTGCTATCACAAGCCCTATGATAAATTTGGAAAGTAATGTTGAACCCCTAGAACAAGGGATCAACATGTAGTTACTAGGGTAATGCAAGCACTGTATGCAGATCTGAAACATGAGCCTAAAACAAAGCAGATTGCAGGGAGTGGAATTAGTCTCAAAAAGATGGATTAAGCTATTAATAGAAACAACCACAAAACACAAAACACATTCCCCAACCTTAAGAAAAAAGATGAACAGAAAAAAAAAAAACATGCAACGGACATTGGGGACACCTAGAAACAATAATAAAATTTGACAATGTATAGATTATATTCTAATTAGCAAAATATGTGGTGTATTAGAGTGGCTTGCATAAAACTCACAAATGAAAGTCTAATGCTAAAAATGTTCCAGTCAAGCTAAACAAACCTCAATCATTTAAAAACAGACCTTGTATTCTTGTATGTAAAGCCCAAAATTCATTGTACTAAGTTATGAATGTATTTTGTATGTAATCAATATACTAATTCTTGTGCCACAAATATCAACTTGGGCTCATGGAGCCAGGCTCAGCTTTGTGATTTACTTGCAGGACTCTTAAGTCAATAGAAAGCACATAACAGATCCGCAGGATGAAAGCACTGAGTTGTAAATCTACTCACTTTGTTCAAAACACAATGAAAAATTTACTGACTCAGGTACTTAGTGCTTAAAGACTGGATTGAGAAGCTGTGAACTGAAGACCATAGCCTGCCTTTGGTTGCCCATGATGAAATACAGGACATAATGCAATATAGTAGCAAGGGACAAAGAATTAAGATATATTTATACATTATTACCATTTAATAACATAATGAGGCACAAGCCTTAAGGCTAAAATATGAAATCAGGACAAGAAAAATGGACAGAAAGGGTCTTAAACCACTGAGTCTTTGATATCAAGAATACCCACAATAGAGGTCAGATCTTTGATCTCTGATTAACAGTATGTCTCCTGCATCCTTCCACTAACAGCATATGGTTGGAAATCTGTGTATTACTTATTCCCATCAAATGTTGACTGTATTCACATTCTTCACATACTGTATTTCTGTGAAGCAATGCTTTGAAGCTTGCAGAGCTCTGCTTTAACATGACAATTTTGCTGCTGTGCTGATCCTTGTTACAATTCTGATGCTTTTAAAAGTTACTACACTTAAAAAACAACAAATACCCTAACACTGATTTACAGCTATCTTGCAAGATTAAAACGGTGAAAGGATTCTGCTGTTGTGGGCTGCTATTTATATCCACAATCTAATGCAGATGACAGAACCACTGAGACTGTCTATAGCTCCCGTTAGATAGTACACCACTGGCATGCAGAACTCTAGTGTTCATAGAATGAAATTAATGTTGACAGCATACCTCAAAGCAAGGATACCACAAAAGGCAACAACAAATTTAAACTGTAGATTTGTCTGGACACTCCTTACATGGAAAAGCCAGAAAAAGAATACATTGAGAAGATACCTTCTTGAACCAAAATGTTTAAAAACAATAGCATAAAACCCAACCCAAACCAAAGGAATACAGCGGACTGAGAAGAAGGCAACAAATGCTTCTCCTTCTCTAAAGGAGGTTTTTGGTGTAAAAGGACCCCCCAACCCGATAAGATTGTATTTACTGTGTAAAAGATTTAACTACTAGTAGGTTCCTAAGTCCACACACAAACACCTGGGTTGCTAGGTTCTGATATTAAATGAGAGACTACTGATTGCCAATGCGTAGTCTAAAGTCTTAAGTTAAATATGTGGCACGAAGCACTTGGGTTCTGCTAAGAAATGTGTATAACAAAAGAGTACAACATTTAGGATTAAAGGCAGCTTTGTTGTGTGTATTTTACTGATTCCTATAACTTAAGAGGCCCTTAACCTGCATTTTCTAATTAACTGGTTATACCGATTAAATATATTTTTATAGTATTTCCATGTACTGCAAGTTCTTAAAAAGCTTAATTTGAAATAGTGTAGAAACTGATGTTGCTTGGGTTAGGCACTCCTTATTGCTGCACAAACTGTTTAAACCTTTCAGAAGTTACCTCTGTCCCAACCCAGAAAACAAGGGCTGCCAGTAGCCAAGAAATTAATGTTACAAAAGAAGGCATATAAAAAATAGCAAACTACACTTGCATGTGGCAGTTGAACAGGTGAGTGCAAGGCTGAAATAAAAGTTAAAATCTATGAAAAAAAATCTAGATTCACTTCACACAGATTGAATTTGCAGCTGTTCTTTGCTTTTAACTCCCTCCCATCCAAATATATCAACTTTTTTCAAGAAAAAGGAGTTCTCTTATGCAAAATGTGTCACATTCACATACATTTGTATTATTCAGAACAAAACAGTTTTTCTGGCAGAGATTGTGGGTTCGCAGGGACATTTAAGCTTTCATTTACCTGAAAAACAGTCAAGTCTTTGTGTCTACAAATTTTACATTTAATAGTTCCACAAATTTGGCAGAAGTTCGTGATGATGTCTAGGATGTCTTCACCAAATCGTAGACATAAATATGGAAATCATCATCAAACTTGATGAAATAGACAGATGGTTTGGCTTCAACTTGATGAATGACCATGCCAGTCCGTTTTGAGCCATCTTCTTTGGCATATTCCACTTGTTTGCCTACCAGGCTGTCCACAACTTCACCTGGCTCCCGTTCTGCAGGAGGCGAATCATCTGTAATGTGAAAATACAATGTACTTTGGTAGACATTTATGGATTTTTTCCCAATATACAAAACCGCAGAGCCTTCTTTAAAAGTTAAGAAACAATCACAAGTTTAAAATGCAGAGTATATCTAAAACAAGTTCAGTTGTTCAGACAAGCACCTAACTATTGCCATGCTTCTAGAAAGTACAATCACAGAATTTAATTTTTTTTAGGTAATACCGTCTTCAATTTTATGAAGTAAAAAATAGCACTTCAATTGGTTAGAAAAGTAAATTTTTTACATGAAGGTTTACACACCAATTACAGAACATGTTTGTAGATAATTTAATTTAAACCCCCATCAGAACAAGGCATTGAGTCTCTAACAGAAAGGCAGGTGTGCTAGAACTCCCTCTCCCCACACTATCCAAAATGTCAATGCAAATATGTCATTGCAACAAAACCACATCTTCCAAGCTAAGTGTAACCTCCTTAATCAATAATTCTGTTAAAAAGGGCTTTTGATTTCACACTAGGACAGATACTGTTGAGAAGTCTAACTATATTATTTGCTTTCCTAGCAAAATCTACCCAGAAGTATCCTTAAGGATACAATTCTCATTGTAAAAGATTCAGGAAAGGTAGCTCATAGTTCAGTGTCTTAGAAACAGATGTAAATAGTAGTACCAGGAAAACAAAAAAAGCACATTTAAAACTTAATTATTTAATTATTTATTAATTATTAAATTAAACCTTTTTGCTTATTTTTCTAAAATGGAACAAAGCAAAGAAGAATTTAAAAAGGAATTGCAAGGTATTTGGAGGTGCCAACTCTGAAAGAGCTTGCTTTATTTGTTTCTTTAGGAATAGGAAGGTCACTTTTCCCATTAACATTTGTGACTCGCTCTCTTCAAGCCACAGATACATTGGTTTTTGTTAGGCTGGAAAAAAATCTAAAAACATAGGATTACTACAGAGGTTATGCAAATGAATGCTACTTGTTTACTCAGCCGTCAGACTATTTATTATTAGTGCTAGATCTGAAGGAAGACAGTCTCAGAAATTCAATGAAGGAATTTTAATATTTTTGTAGTGCATTGCATAGTCAAAACACTAGTTATCTAATTAATAATTTGCTTTAACGTCAAAATTGCCTCTCTGTCAGAGAAGTGCTTTTGAGGTACAGGACAGAAATGAGAGTACAATATTCTTGACAAACTTTTTTCTTCTTTTTTTGTACTAGCTATCCAAATCTCGAACAATAATGATTCTGTGAAAATCCTTCTATATTTATAGAAAAAAACCCATAACTTTCACTTCAAGAAAGGAAGAAAAAATATGCCTCCTAACCTATTGAAAAAAAATTCCTGTTTATGTGTCTAAACAGGTGAGAGAAAATGAGCTTTTAAAAGATTAGTGCTTCTTTCATAGAATCATAGAATCTTAGGGGTTGGAAGGGACCTCGAAAGATCATCTAGTCCAACCCCCCCTGCCAGAGCAGGGCCACCTAGAGTACATCACATAGGAATGCATCCAGGTGAGTTTTGAATGTCTCCAGTGAAGGAGACTCCACAACCTCCCTGGGTAGCCTGTTCCAGTGCTCTGTCACTCTCACAGTAAAAAAAAATTTTTCGGATATTCACCTTGAACCTCCTATGCTCCAATTTGCACCCATTACCCCTTGTCCTATCACTGGTCATCACTGAGAAAAGTCTAACTCCATCTCCCTGACACTCACCCCTTACATATTTGTAAACATTAATGAGGTCACCCCTCAGTCTCCTTTTCTCCAAGCTAAAGAGACCCAGCTCCCTCAGCCTTTCCTCATAAGGGAGATGTTCCACTCCCTTAATCATCTTCGTAGCTCTGCGCTGGACTCTCTCAAGCAGTTCCCTGTCCTTCTTGAACTGAGGGGCCCAGAACTGGACACAATACTCCAGATGTGGCCTCACCAAGGCAGAATAGAGGGGGAGGAGAACCTCTCTTGACCGACTAACCACACCCTTTCTAATGCACCCCAGGATGCCATTGGCCTTCTTGGCCACAAGGGCACATTGCTGGCTCATGGTCATCCTCCTGTCTACCAGGACCCCCAGGTCTCTTTCACCTACACTACTCTCCAGCAGGTCAGCCCCCAACCTGTACTGGGACATCCTGTTGTTCTTCCCCAAATGCAAAACTCTACACTTGCCCTTGTTGAATTTCATCATGTTTCTCCCTGCCCAACTCTCCAGCCTATCTAAGTCTCTCTGAATGGCAGCACAGCCTTCTGGTGTGTCAGCCACTCCTCCCAGCTTAGTGTCATCAGCAAACTTGCTGAGGGTACATTCTATACCCTCATCCAGGTCACTGATGAAGATGTTGAACAACACCGGTCCCAGTACCGACCCCTGAGGGACTCCACTAGTCACACACCTCCAACCAGATTCTGCCCCATTGTCTACAACTCTCTGACTCCTTCCTTTCAACCAGTTCCTGATCCACCAATAAACTACTCAAAAGCTTTCCAAACTGAAGATGCTTACCCAAACTAAATGAATCTGATTATTTTAGTTAGCCTCAAAACATTATTGTTATAAGAACTGCTTCAGAAATGCAGGTCTTCGAGATGGCTCTTGATTTGTGACACTTCTAAAAGAAAATAGCATTGGAAGGCTTAGTTTATCAATTTCTGTTAAAAAAAATCTAACTGTAATCTCTTCCACAATAGTATGTCTATTTTTATCAGAATTAGGAATTATTATGGAAAATGATTTTCCAGTATTTATTGTATATTTCACCACCAAATTGAAGTAAAATATTTCAGAAGTTGTGTAATACAGATGTATTTTCTGTTGTATTGCAACCTTTGTTAGTTTTCATACTTAAAAAGATCCTTGTTTGTCAACTCTCTTTGCCATATATAAAGCATAAGCCAAACAATAATACAAAGACAGATGCCACTTTCCAGAGGAAAAAAATAACTGGCCTACTTACTGGAATCGGGCATAATGCGAAGGTCACCTTCTTTATAGTCATCTAAGAGTTGGTACATGTACAAGACGGGATCTTTCTCGTAGGTAATATAAAACCATGTGTTCATAATAGGAGCTCGAGCCAAAACCATCCCCCTCCATTCATCTTTTGAGCCATCCTCTGTCTCAAACATATGTTCCACGGCTTTGCCAATCATCGTGTCTGCCAGGTGGGCATCGCTAATTCGAGATGAAGCTGAAATGGTAGCAGTTCATAAGTATGCCCATTCAAAAGTACAGAAATAAGTCTTTGTAAAAAGTAATCTTTATCCAGAATAATTCATAAGTTTGTTTGGAAGTTAGTCAATTCACATACAAAACAAATACTGTCCAATCCAGACAGTTGAAGAACAAAGAACTGCAGAACCTGAAGAATTATTTTAACATTATTATTTTTTTTAACATTATTTTAACACTCTTATCAACATTTTTCATTATTGTACAACCCCTCCCATTAATCAAACTATCATAATGCAAGGTAAAGGGAAACCAGTATAGGCCACAGCAAAGAATAGTGTCTGTATTTTAAATATTTGTATTTTGGGAGGAGGGGAGGAAGAGAGGTTTAATCACAGGGTAGCTGTATGAAGTTATTAATGAAGGTGTTTGGTTTGGTACCCCCTAACCCCATTCCAGAGACTGCTACTGATCTCTGCAGTCAGAAAAACTAAGGATTTATTCCATTCAGAAATAAGTAATTACTAGGGTAAACTTTGTACTTTACAGTTTGGAAAAACCTGCAGTTTAACGATTCAGTGCTAATTATGTAAATCAATAAAGACTTGTTACTAGTCAAGTTATTTAACTTAGAAAATACTTTTTTTCCCTCTATTTGGATTAAAACCTAGAGAAAGTACATGAAAAAAAACAACCCAATCAAACACATAATTACTATCAAACACACAAGATAACGTAGCAAGGATATTTTTCAGCTGGCTCAGTTTAAATGTTAATGGAAATATCAGTGTTACATGTATATAAGCTTGTTATGGATAGGACTCTAAGCAATAAAAAAACCATAATTTAGTGCATACCATTTAAAGACAAAAGACAGCTTTCTGGTATCAAGGAAAAATTAAGCAGAGCATTTACATTATCTGCCATGTTATGAAAAATATTTTAATAAATGTAAATGTTCTGACAACACATGCACATATAGGAAAAAAACCCTCTTACCAACTCTGTCTGGGAGGACTTCAAGTGCTGAAACTCTTTCATCTTTGTGCAGTTCTAGTCCATACACACAGTCAAATCCATCATATTTTATAAGATAGAGAGAGGGATTTACAGGAACTTGATCAAGCACTGTGCCTTTCCATTGTGTTACAGGTCCACTCCCTTCTTTCCAGCCATGCTGTATTCTGCAGCCAACAATGTTTCTTCGTGGCTGAGAAATAGGTTTGCTTGGTCCAACATTGTTTCTATGCTTTCTGTACATAGATACAAACATAACATTAAAGAAGTACATACTCAAAATTCTACTCTGGTCAAAAGCTGTATGTTTTAAGAAGGCAATATATTATTGTATATTAATAAAGATACATTAAATTCTAGCATGTACAGGTTAGTGCACCTTATTCAAATTAGGGTATAAAACATATTGCATTGTACTGGAAAAAGAAAAATATCCAACACTCAGAAGTAGTGGAACATATTCAACATTTTTATAAGGTTGCTTTCATAATAGTAGTTTCCAAAACTAGCTTGCTTAAGTCAAAAGAACTTTTAGCCATTACTACACTGAACATTAAAAGTAAAACTTGCTTGTTAAAACCCTAAATCAGATCTCAGAGAGCAATGTTACCCCAGGAGCAAGAAGTCAGTGGAAACGTTAGTGGCGATCAACTGAAATTTTTCAAAACGTTTGTTTTCCCTAACCTGTGTTGTCACCTGAAGGAAATTATGGAGCAGACCATCTTGAGTGCTATTATGCAGCACATGCAGGACAACCAGGTGATCAGGCCCAAACAACATGGGTTCATGAAAGGCAGGTCCTGCTTGAACTAACCTGATCTCCTTCTATGACAGGATGACCTACTTGGATGAGAGAAAGGCTGTGGATGTTGTCTACCTTGACTTTAGTAAAGCCTTCCACACATTTTCCACAGCATTCTCCTGGAGAAACTGGCTGCATATGGCATAGACAGTTGTACTCTTTGCTGTGTAAAAAACTGGCTGGATGGCCAGACCTAAAGAGTTGCAGTGAACAGAGTTAAATCCAGTTGAAGGCCGATCAAAAGTGGTGTTCCCCAGGGCTTGGTATTGGGGCCAGTTCCCTTTAATATCTTTATCAATAATCTGGATGAGGGGATTGAGTGCACCCTCAGGAAGTTAGCAGATGACACCGAATTAGGCAGGAGTGTTGATCTGCTTGAAGGTAGGAAGGCTCTACAGAGGGATTTTGACAGGCTGGATCAATGGGCTGAGGCCAACTGTATGAGATTCAACAAGGCCAAGTGCCAGGTCCTGCACCTGGGCCACAACAACCCCATGCAGTGCTACAGGCTTGGGGAAGAGTGGCTGGGAAGCTGCCCAGGAGAGAGGGACCTGGGGGTGTTGATTCCTGCTGAATATGAGCCAGCAGTGTGCTCAGGTAGCCAAGAATGCCAACAGTGTCCTTGCTTGTATCAGGAATAGTGTGGCCAGCTGGACTAGGGAAGTGATTGTGCCCCTGTACTCAGCACTGGTGAGGCCACACCTCGAGTACTGTGTTCATTTTTGGGTACCCCACTCCGAGAAGGACATTGAGGTGCTGGAGAGAGTCCAGAGAAGAGCAACAAAGCTTGTAAAGGGTCTGGAGTACAAGTCTTATGAGAAGCATCTGAGAGTACTGGAGTTGTTTAGCCTGGAGGAAATAAGGCTGAGGGGAGACCTCTACAACTACCTGAAAGGAGGTTGTAGCAAAGTGGGGGTTGGTCTCTTGTCCCTAGTAACAAGCATCAGACAAAGAGGAAATGGCCTCAAGTTATGCCAGGGGAGGTTTAGATTGGATATTAGAAGAAACTTCACTGAAAGGGTTATCAGGCATTGGAACAAGATGCTCAGGGAGGTGGTTGAATCAACATCCCTGGAGGTGTTTAAAAGACATGTAGATGTGGTGCTTAGGGACATGGTTTAGCACTGGACTTGGTAGAATTAGGATAATGGTTTGACTTGATGATCTTAAAGGTCTTTTCCAACCAGAACTATTCTGTGATTCTGTAAAGCAGATACTAGATTAAATATACTTTTCACCCTTCCTCAGTTTTTTAATCCAACTTGTACAGAAAGATCCCTTCTGGTGAATATCAATTGCTCTGATAAACAGTTATGTAAGCTACTTGACAGTTTCAGCCCACTAAAACAGTGTTACACAAGTTTTATTCTACTCAATTAAAAAAACCCCAGTAACTGACAGTTGTGAATACAAGTGAAGAAACATATGAACATTACTACAGTACATTGGTGATAAATGTATATTTATTTTAGTATGTTACCATATGCATATTCATTCCTAAAATGATATAGTAGAGGGTTGCCTGTTTAAAATTCTCATTAATGTTAGTTAATTCTAAAATAAATTTCTGAATTAGTTACCAGTTATATTACACTTTGTTTAAATGGCAATAAAATATACACATCAGTAGCATGCTTAAAAACAACATCTAAGAAAAGAAAAATCAAGTTGCAGAAAACAACATCCATCCTTATATTAGTGACAGTGACCGAAGCAAAATATTTCTGGGAACAATGAAAGCTCACAAAGCAGCCCACGTATGACAGAGATTTAAAAGACACAAATAGCAATCATATCAGTAAAGTCCCATAATTAGTCTTAAAGAATAAAAAATCCCAGTATATAAAATTAGTAATGCTGAATATGTAAACATAACTCTATTAAAAACAAGATGTACAATTCCTTCAGCAGCTTGTCCCACCTGCAGACTTTAATTCTCCATGAAAATTTTAGCCGAGTTCCACAGTATCTTTTGTCAAATGTAACTTATGTGATGATTTAACCTTATCAAGGAGGTCAGTCAGCATTCATCATCTCTGTTATCAGTGTTAGGAGTATTATAGAAATGCTAACCTCTTCCATTTAAAAGGCATGCCCCTGCAAAGTTGGTTCTAATTTTCCATAGAAACTTGAACACATGTTCAAATACTTGATCTTTATTATCTCATTCTTGATTAATTGTTAACTAATTTTTAATTAATCAATAATTAACAATGAAATAAAAGCAACTACATGAAATAAAAAAAAATTAAACATTTGGCTGGCATAAGTGTTCTCTAGCAAACATGCTGGTGGGATGCAAGGTGTATGGGAAGAACTACAGGAGGGTTTTGCTCAGGGAACCGGGGAGCAGGCAACTGCACAACTGCCTCCTGCTGAGCCCCCACACCTGCTCTGGTGCTGGTACTGCCATGCACATTGAGCAGACGGGGAAGGAGCACCATAGTAGTGGGAACTGCTGGCTCCCGACGTTCCAGGTTGCCCAGGGCTGGGAAGGATGCTGGGGTGGTGGGATGGCATGCCCTTAGGGCCCTCCATTTAAAAACAAAACCTCCCCAAAAAAGAGGGGAAAAAAACAGAAAAAAAGCTGAGGCAAGCAAAAGGGGGGGCTCTCCCACCAGGCAGTGCTCAGTTGGTCACCTTTCCCCCACACCCAGAGCTGCACCCAGAGCTGCTCCCCCAGCTGTTTCTCACACCCCTCCCATGCTGCTCACCCCTCTACCTGCATGCCGCCTCCTCCTAATGTAATGTATACTGCAGACACAGCAGGAACGAGATCGCTAGTGGTCTCCCCTCCACAGCCCATGACAGACTGCTTCCTGCCAGGCGCTTGAGGCTCCCTACAGCACCATGCAGAGCCTGTGCCAATGTTTAAAGGCTTTGTGGAGCTTGCCATGTGTTGGGGAGGACCAGCGGTGCAGCAATGTGCATCAGGGAGGACCAGCGGCATGTTGAGTTGTCCCATGTAGAGACAGCCACATAGAATTAGCCACAGAGAGTTGACCAATTCCTTTACAGCCACTCCACAAGCCTACAGTGCTGCATGGGTTTGTCACGACCAAAGTGCAGGACCCAGCATTTAGCTTTGTTGAAACTCATACAATTGGCCTTCACCCATCGATCCAGCCTGTCCAGATCCTTCTGTAGTCTTCCTACCCTCAAGCAGATCAACACTCCTGCCTAACTTGGTGTCATCTGCAAACTTCCTGAGGGTGCACTCAATCCCCTCATCCAGATTATTGATAAAGATATTAAAGGGAACTGGCACCAATACTGAGCCCTGGGGAACACCACTTGTGACTGGCCACCAACTGGATTTAACTCCATTCACCACAACTCTTTGGGCCCAGTCATCCAGCCAGTTTTTTACCCAGGCCAAAGTCTGCCCTCTGGAAGTCCAAGGTGACAGCTCTACTCCCTCCTTAATGCTCTGAGAATTGAAAACTTTATCATTTCATGATTGCTAGGCCCAAGACAGCCTTCAAATGTCACGTCACCCACAAGTCCTTCTCTGTTCACAAACAACAGGCCCAGAGGGGTGCCTCCCCCTAGTTGGCTCACTCAGGAAGTTATCTTTCACATACTCCAGGAACCTCCTAGACTGTTTCCTCTCTGCTGTATTGTATTTCCAGCACCCATCTGGGAAGTTGAAGTCTACCACTAGAACAAAAGCTAGCAATCTTGAGACTTCTCCCACCTGCTTATAGAATATTCAATCTTCATCCTGGTTGGGTGGTCTATAACAGACTCCCACCATGATATCTGCATTGTTGGCCTTTCCCCTGACTCTTACCCAAAACCACTTGATACTTTCATCACCATTCTAAAGCTCTAGAAAGTCAAAACACTCTGTAACATACAGGACTATGTCACTGGTTCTTAGATGTCACCATCTTTCTGCCGGACGCTTCTACACTACCAAATCACCGCGGGGACAACTGGCCCCCGACCAGCAGGTGACACACTGTGTCAGCACTGTGAATAGAACCACCTTCAGCCCTGTGAACAGAACCTCAGGGAGCAGGTGGCTCTGCTTATGGTGCTGTGATTTTTGCAAGGAAACTGTGCATATATAGGGGAGTTCAAGTGTATGAGTCACAATTTGTAACATGAAAAATTAACGACGAGATAAATGCAACTCAGTCAAGTGTATTATGAACAGCTTGTTTGAGGTTGCAGTCTTGAACATCACTTTCAAAAACTGTGTTTTGATGTTTTTTGATGGTATTTGTTTAATATTACTTTTAGAAAATATTTCACGTTTGATTAAGTTGCCTTTATCTAATTGTGAGATAACCGAAAACAGTTGCAGAGCAAGGTAGATACATCTGATGGTGTGACACATGGAAAGTGTGAGATTAATCGGCTAGCACATGTTGCAATTGTTATAAACTTTTTTCCCTCAGTATTCAGACTATGAGGCCCATTACTAGA